TATTAATGATAAAGGAAAATCAGCACCATCTGTTGAAACAATGAAAGATGAAATTGAGAAACTTTTGTTTTAAGTGAATTGATTGATTTTAGAATTAGGTTTTTTTTAATAAAATAATTAACAATAAATGGAAATAACAATAATAGAATTATATTGTTTGTTTCAATGTTTTTAATTCTTAATAATTTCTTTTATTCAAATTGGTTTTATGTTTATTAAAAAAGTATTGAAAAAAAATATTGTTTTTATAATCAAAAGTATTGTCATTTTAAAATAATATTTAAATTAGTATTTTTAAAGTCATTCATGACACATTTATGTTAGTTTAGAGTGGAAAATATTTGTTTTCAAAAATGATAAAAGTTCATTTTGTTTCATTTTCTTATTTCTTTTTGACTAAAAATAAAGAAAAAAGAATAAATAGAATTTAATAAATCTAACCAAAAATAAATATTTTATAATAAAAATAAAATAAATCAATCATGGGGTGAAAAGATGATGAGGAAAGTATTTTTTATGAAAAGAAACTGTTCAAAAAAAAATTGACAACTTAAAAATCCAAAAAGTTAATGAACAAAAACGATGGGTTGGTGTATTTTCATTATGGATTTGTACTTGTAGGAATAACTATTCTTTTTTTATTTGTTTTTGTTTTTTATATTAAATTATTTAATACATCGTTTGTATTTATATTTTATAAATGAGATATGGCATTAATTAAAAGGTTAACACCTAATTCATATCAATATCAACCAGTATATAAATCTTATCACAAAAATTCACCAATACTAAGAGTTGCTTTAGTAAGTGATTTAGACAAAGCTAGTAAAGAAGGTCAAATGTGGAGGTCTGTTGTTATAGTAGGAATTATTTTCAGACAAGGCAATTCATATGATTTTCAAGAGCAAGAAGAATTTAATATAAGTTTACCAATTAATGAAAATGGAAGAGGAATGGAATTAAGTGAATTATTAAGTTTCAATGGAAGTCTCTATGGGTTTGATGATAGAACTGGTTTAGTTTGTGCCATTGATATTGAAAAGAAAAAAGCATATCCTCGACTTATTTTGAGAGATGGAGATTCCTTTTCTGATAAAGGAATGAAAATTGAATGGGCAACTGTTTATAAAGACTCAATGTATGTAGGAAGTATTGGAAAAGAATTTACAACTCCAAGAGGAGAATATTTGAATGATAATCCATTGTATGTGAAACAAATAAATGTTGATGGAAAAGTTTCTGTACTTAATTGGAAAAATAAATTTAATGCAATAAAAAATGCGGTTGGAATTTATGGAGAAGGATATATGATTCATGAAGCTGTAGCATATTCAGCTAGTGCTAACAAATGGTATTTTGCACCTAGGAAATGTAGTAATGAGAGATATGATGATATTAAAGATGAAGTTCGTGGATGTCCTTACATTATTTCTACTAAAGACTTTATTCATTTTAATATAATAAACGATCCTCAACATGATTTTAATAAAGGGTTTAGTTCAATCAAAGTTTTACCTCATGATGAGAATAAATTAATATATTTAAAGAGTGTAGAAGTTGGTAAAAGAAGTGAAACATATATGGGAATGATAAGTACAACAGGAGAAGTAATAATGAAAGAAAAGTTAATAACTAAAATGAAAATGGAAGGAATAGAATTTATTCCAATTTAATCTTTTAACATAGTAAAAAAAAAATTAAATATTAACATAAAATATAATTGATATTAAATTAAATTATCTCTAATATTAAATTTCTTGATTTTTCTTGAAGTTTCTTTTAAAACGTTTTTAGCATTTTTTAATGCAAAGTTTTTGATTTCTGCTTGTTTTTTTAGAATCAACAAGGTTTCTTTTTGATTAGCAGTTTGAGCTCTTGAAATAGCTTTTGTTGCAATTTTATTTCTTTTTTGTGCAACTTTAAAATGAAATTCAGCTCTTTTTTTACTAGAATATGAAGGGGATTGTTGGTTTCTGGATTGTTCTAACAAAGCAATATTTTTAGCATCACGAGCTCTTTCTAACATTATAAGTGCTTTTCTTTGAGCTCTCCATTTTTTTTCTATTGTTTTTTGAAGTTCAGTAAAGTCAATAGTGTTGGTAGATGTAGTTGCAACTAATGCTGAACGTTTTAATTCATTTAATTTAGCTTGATCTGAGTCTATTTCATTTTGAGCTAATCTACGTAATAATTCCATTCTTTTTTGCTCTACTTCTTTATTACGATCATCAATTAATTGTTTAAATTTTTTTTCACTAACTTTTCCTTCTTGAGCTTCAATAGTATTTTGTTTAATTAATCCTTGAATAATTTCATTATAAGACAAAGAACTTCCTGCAACTTTACCTAATAATCTTAATGAATTTTGTCGTTTTAAATGTTCAATTAACAATTCTCTTTGAGCTTGTTTTGATCTATTATTATATTCTTCAAAAACAGTTAGTGCATTTGTGTAAATTATTAAAATAAATAATATTTTCATTTCTTAACTCTTTTTTAGATTACATATTTTTAGTTCTTCTCTTCTCTTCTTTTCTTTTTTCTTTTTTTGTTTTATTTTTATATATTGATATATATAGCATTATTTAATTCATTTATTCTCATTTTGAATTTTGCAACTTTGAGGTTTTATCTTTGTCATTTCACAACACCTCATAAGAAAGTTTATTATAATTTTATTATAAAAATATAATTAAACTTGAATAAAGAATATGTCTAAAAGAACTTGATGAACTTACAAAAGTCAATTTGAAATGTCTAAACAAATAAACTTCTTTGGGGTGTCTGAGTATTGCCCTAAATCACTTTCAAATATTATACAATTTTATCAAACAAATGACATTGAAATACTTATAAATTCATTACAAAAATACAACCAATCTCCACTTCCAAGGGAATTAAAAAAAAATATTTTTACACTTATTCCATTTCTTGCCAATAGTGTATTTAACATATTTTATAATATTCCTGTAATTAATAATAATGGATTTTTCATTGCTGATTTATCTCATCAAAACGTTAACCAATTAGAGGAATTAATGAAAGAATTTATAAATGCATTTTTTATCATTAAACAATATTTTTCTGTTCTTTCTATTCATAATGAAAACAGAATAATGTTCCATTTCTTTGAACGATTTTTGTTATGTAATAATTTGTATTTAACAACATGTTTTATTTCATTGTCATATATATTTAATCCAACATGTAGTTTTATTACAACAGTAAATACATTCATTAAAAATGATTTTTATTTACCATTTAATTTAGAGAAATTAGATTCATTTGAATTATTATTACAAACAGAATTACAAAAAAATTCTATTGAATATAAAATTGATTATTATCAATTAATTTATCAATGTCAATCTATTCAACTTTTAGCAGACTCACGTTTATTATGGTGGATTAAAAATAATAACAAAACTATTACTTTATGGAATGATTTATTTGCATTAAATGTTGCAAGTCAAATGTGTTTAATACCTGATGAACTAAATCTTGAATCATATCAATTTCCATTTGTTATTTTTAATCATTTATTGGAAGTACCTCAAACTCGAAATTTATTTTATTTATTTAAAGATAGAATTATATTCATTGAAAGTTTTAGTGAAGTAGTTAAAATGGCTATTTCATTATTATCTCAAGATAAACTTCAACCCCAGTCTGACCTTCTTTCTTCATCAGAAATTATTCATGAAGATAGATTAATTAATGAATTGTCTATTGAAGATAAATATTTCGCAAAGAAAATTATTAAAAAAATTACTTCTCAAATTGAATTTTCATATGTTATTCCTTATATCACTTCAACTGATCTTCCTGAATATGCTCATAGATGGATATTCTCTGTTATTAAAGATCACTCAAATTTTAAAGGTAATACAAAACAACGAAATGATTTATTCTATGAGTATTTAAAAAAAGTTAATAGTAATTCGAGGGATATATGTAAAATTTATTCATTATTTGCTGAGACAATTATTTCTACTATGTCACACGTTAATGAAGAACATGTTCAATTAGTCGTTGATTTTTTTATTGCCAATTCATTAAATTATGATTTTCTTTCTTGTATTTTTCAAGAAAATATTTTATTTAGATTCTATTTAAAATTTATTGGAAGTCCAATTGCAACAAAAATATTTGAGAAGACTTTATCATGTATTAGAAACACTATTGAAATATTGAAGAAAAGTGATGAACGTTTTCCATTACTTAATGTAATAGATGGAGATGGTCCTGTTGTATTAGGTGAGGTTATTAGTAATTATACTTCTTTTATGAAACAATTAAGAAATACAGATGCATTCAGTGGTGATGATAATATTAACTCTTTAATGATAAACTGTATTTTGTTATGTTTAAGATATGGAGGAAGTGATGTATGGAGTAGTGTTCATGAACATTACAGAAATCTTAAAATGATTTCAAAAGAATTATTGAGTCAATTAGTAACTGATTCATGTAAAATTATAGACTATATAGCTAAAGAATGTAATGCAGATAAAATTAATGATAGTTTTTATTGGAACATTGAAAGTATTAAAGACAAATATCGTTTTAGTTATGGATCACCATTGTTGTATTCAGAAAATAGAATGTCCATGCAAGAAAAACAAATAGAAATATATGACAGATATGGTATTGAATTATTTGAAGAAAGTATTGGTAAAAATAATGCATTGTATTATGTTAGAACAGCATTAAATTTCGGAGATATTTTATGTTCATTTGGGGATAGAATGAAAAAGAAAGATGTAAAGAAAATTATTGAAAAGAGAATGGAAATAAATGTACCATATGAATATTTTAGAACATTTGAAATTAATTTGGTTTCTAATAAACGTTTTAGTACTGTTTATATTATATTAGTTAAAGAAATGTTTCAAAATATTTATAATAAGTTATCAAACAATGAATTTGTTAGTAATATGGAACTATATAAAATATCTGTTTTATTAAATAAGATTTATTTGTATAATGAAGAATCTCATTTTTTAATTAGCTCTATTCCTAAAGAACATGTAACTATTTATATCAAAGAAATTTTTAAAAGATATTATCAAGAAATTATTCAATTACCAAATTTCAATTCACAATTATTTAGATTTACTACTACTAATACTATTGATAAAAGATATCGTGTTCTTGCAATTTTTGATTATATATTATATCTTCTTGCAGAACCAACAACCATTTTAAATGATTTTTGTTCAATCGTATTATTACCATCTTTAAAGTCTCAAGAATTTGAAAAAGAGATGAGTATTGGATTATTGTGGTTTATTGATAATAATGATTTTATAACATTTAAGAAGTCTTTAAAAATGGAAACTTATATTGATAATATGGTTAACTACTATATAACTTTATTACAACATTATTCAAAAGAACATGATGAGTTAACATTTATTCCTTTGAAATTATTTTATGACTTTTTAATTACTAGAGTTCTTCATGAAAAATCATTTTTTGGAGATTCATTTAAGTTATATAGAAAGTTATTTGATATTTTAGCATCTCCTTTGAACTTTATATTACCAGTTAATTGTTATTCATCATGGATTAATCTTGCATTATTAATTATTTTGAAATCTCCTTTCCCAAATAAATTCCAAGAAAGACCTGAACCATTTGTTCAATTCACTGTAAGAGTTCAAAAGAATTATTTTTATTACATCAAACAACAAATTGAATCTTTCTCATATGAAACTATTCTTTCAAATATTATGTTATCTTCTGCATATACTGATATTTTATTTTATTTAGACGAAATAAATACACTCCAAGATAAGATTCTTTCTACTAATCATATTACTGATGGCATTTTAACTGTTATAAAAAAATTGTGTAATAACAAATCTGAAGACTATTCAAAATTGTTTGAACTTATTTGTTTAATCAAAAAAGAATTCAATCAACATCAACAAGGAGAAAGAGAAATATTTGCAAATATTTTGCATATTTGGAAAAGTAATGATATTATTTTTGGTGACCAGAAGTCAAGAATTATTGAACTTGTTGAATATGGTATTGAACATTTAGAATATCAAAATAAAAATTCATATTATTTAATGAATATAATGTTACGATTGATCAAAATATTACAAGAACCAACTGAATGGAAATTTGACGTTATGGACTTTATTCAAAGTATTGAAAGTAACATAGGACAAGATCCTCTCTTGTTAATCCGAATTTTCCATAATGAGTCATATGACAAAACCCCTGTAATAAGCCATAAGTCAGAGTCTAGTATACCAATTATTTCTATGGTTACTGTAAAAAGGATTATTGAAAGAATTGAAGACATTGATCAAACTATTCAAAAATGTCAATTCCAAATGGAAAAATACATAGAAATAATGAATATTAGAGCAGCATATTTCGATATAGTTTATTTCACTGTTGTGTTTATACTTAACCAAATAAAAGAAAATGAAATTTATGAATTGATAAAAAGGGTCATGAAGATTAGATTAAGTCCATATATTGTAATTACTTCAATTGTTAAAGAAACTGATCAATTGTTAAGTTCATTAAATGTTATTAATGAAATGAAAGACATAAAAGCAAATTTAAATGAAGCACTTATTCAAAGTTGTAAAGAACAACGGATTATTAAAAATATTCCAATAGAAAATGTAAAAGAAGACTTTAAAGTTAT